TAAAATATATATATATATATATATATATATATATCGTAATATATATATATATATATATCACAAGCGTAATTGTAATTACCACCTTATTGTGTGATATTGGAATCATCTACCAGAATCCATCTAAATTCTCCCCACAGAGTTTAAATACTTGTCATTCCTACAGTAAGAATTGTTGGAGAAAAATGGAATGAGAATAAGAAAAAGATAAAAGAACAAAAAGATGGCAAAAGAAAGGCATTTTTTTTTCTTTTTTTCTTTTTTTTTTAAATTCGGTACCAGGAATTGAACCCAGGGGCACTTAACAGCCCTTTTTTATTTTTTATTTTAAGACAGGGTCTCTCTAATTTGCTGAGGCTGGCCTTGTACTTGTGATTCTCCTACCTCAGCCTCCCAAGCCCCTGGGATTACAGGTGTGTACCACTGCACATGACAAGACATTTTCAGAATTATAAAATTGAAAGATTTATCTGTAGTATACCTGGACTATAAGAAATATTAATGGGCAACCTTCAGGCAAAAAGAAAATGGGAGGCTGAGGCAGAAAATCTGTACTGACACCGAAGAATGTACACCCCAGAAATGGTTATCAAATGGGTAAGTATATATAAAATAAAATGGATGACAACAATAGGACAAAGGCTGGGAGGATAGAAATGGTAATATTCTATTGTAGGGTCTCTATAACTATATTTAAAGTGTTACAATACACTTTGAAGAAGACTGATAATTCAAAGATTAACACTATATACCCTTAAGAAACAATTAAAATAACAAAACAAGGAGTTATAGACAATGATAAATGAATTTTATAAATGAAATCATGAAAATATTTTGTTAATCTTAAAGGATGGAGAAAACAAAGGAAAAAATGATAAACCAATAGAGTAGACCAAAGGGAAGTGAATAGCAATATGAGAGACTCAAACCTATTAAGTAGAAATGGGGTAAATATTTCTAGTGCAATCAGGCAGAAATTATCAAATTGGACAAAAAACAAGACTCAACTATATAATGCCTACAGGAAACTCACTTTAAATATAAAAATTGGCTGAGGATGCTGTTCCATGTTATACCACTATATATGTGATGCCCTTGGTTCAATACCTGGCACCACAAAATACTTGGAGGCTGGGAATGTATCTCAGTGGTAGATTGCTTGCATGCATGAGGCTCTGACTTCAATCCCCAGCTCTGCAAAAATTAATAAAAACAAAAGCAAAAATAAATATGACAATTAGGTTACAAGTAAAAGGATATAAAAGATAGGGCATGCTAATATCAGTCAAAAATAAACCTATATTAATAAGATTAAAAGTAGGTTAAAAAGGTCTATAACCAAGAATTTTTTAAAAGGTTGTTTCCAAACAATAAAGGGATCAGTTAATCAAGAGGACATAACAATCCCAAATGCTTATGAACCTAATGACAGAACTTAAAATACATGACACAAAAACTGATAGAACTACTAGGAAAAATACAACACCCAATTATAATCAAAAATTTCAATAACTCACAATAATTGATAACTAAGTAGCTAATTAGCAAAGATATAACTGTACTATTAACCAATTTGACCTTTATGGAACCCTTTACCCAATGACAGAAGAATGATATTCTTCTAAAATTCACACAAAACACTTATCAAGATAGGTCTTGTTCCAGTTTGTATAAAAAAAATATTGTCAAGAAATTCAAAAGGATTTAAGCCATGCAAAGTATATTCTCTATTGATCAACGGAAAGTTGCTGGAAACTACTTTACATGTTTTGAAACAAAATATACACTTAAAAGTAATGCACATATCATAGAACAATCCAAAGAAAAATTAGAAAATTTTTTGAACTGAATGGAAATTTGTGGGCAACAGTTGAAGCAACACTTAAGTTATAGTACTAAATACATATATTAGAAAATATTACTAAATCAGTAGGCTCACTTTGTATTTAACAACTTATATAATTAAGAATTTAAGAATATAGACAGAACATTAAATTCAGAGTAAGCAGTATAAAAGAAATAATGAATAATTAAGATAAAGCAGAATTCAATGAAATAGAAAGAAAAGCAGAGAAAAATTGATGAATCCAAATGATGGTTCTTTGAGAAACATTAAAACTAAACTTAAAGGCTGGGGTTTTGGCTCAGTGGTAGAGCACTTGCCAAGCATGCATCAAGCACTGGGTTTGATCCCCACATCACATAAAAATAAACAAAATAAAGGTACTGTGCCCATCTACAACTAAAAAAAAAAATTTAAAAAGGAACCCCAAATTAGCTGATACATCTCATCTACTACTTTATTTCCTCCATACTCTTTGCTTTATTAGGTTTATATGACTTTGTTCATTTAGTAGGTTTAGAGATTGTGTCAAAGATGCATGTGGATTGATATTTAACATAGTTAAAAACCTAAATGTAATATAAATATGAAATTGTGACTGAGAAAATATTCTGTAGATATATTTAGGCTAAGGTCTTATCAATGAATAATCATGTTTTTAAAGAGAGAGAGGGTTTTTTAATATTTATTTTTCAGTTTTTGGTGGACACAACATCTTTATTTTATGTGGTGCTGAGGATCGAACCCTGGGCCCCGCGCATGCCAGGCGAGCGCAGTAGGAAGATGCAGTTTAAATAATTTAAGTGACAAAATGAAAGCTTTATAAGAGAGCAAGTTCATGTTGGTATTTCCAGTTTTACTTCAAGTCCTTTCTGGCCTAGTTCTATTATGAAAACTTCAAATAATTTATTCTTTTCATTTTCATTTGTTACCCTCTTTAATGTTCTTTTGTTTATATCCTTTCATTAACTCAAACATATATGTATATGGATATACATATATATGCATACTGACATATCAAACCATGTGTTTAATTTACTTCGGTGTTCTGAGCTTCAGAAATATCCATTTCTTTTTTGCTTCTTAACAAAATAAGCTTCAAGACATACAAATATGGATGATCCTTTATGACCACACCATCTGCACACAGAACTGGCTGTCTGGAAAAAAAATTTAATCTCCTCCCCATGGATCCTCAGGGAATTCTGAGGGCATAGGGCACCCAGTGTCAATATAGAGTCCCTATGCACCTAATGCAAGCTAATGAAAAGGAGCAGCTAAGCAAACACTAGATTGTGAGATTTTGACTAAAACTTTCCTCCAGCTTTTCATTCCCACGTGCCAAAACAGTCTTGGCTTTTCCCCTTTAAGCCTATTTCAACCTGTTTCTTTTTTTTTCTTCAAGTGTTTTCATTGCTGGTGCTGCTATTCATTTATTTGTTGCAGACAGTTTGAGCAATGAATTTCGACTTCCTATACGGCATTGCTCCTTTTTTGACTCGCATGGCTGTACGTCATTCTATTTTAGAGCCATCAAAGTCTATCATAAATCTCAGAAAATACACTATCATGAATTGTGATGAAAATGTTTCAAATGATAACAATTTAAAAACCCATCCACTAGTCTCATGGAGATCAATTTCTATATGGTCTTGTAATTTTCACAATGTTGACTATGCTTCATGAAAACCAACTCACAAAAGAACAAGAATGCAATTGGCTTATAGCACATTACAGGTAAGACCTCACATCCTTAATAAATCCAGGTCACCCCTGACAACATTCCAAGTAGTTATCACATATTTTTGGCATATAATGAAGCTGATTTTTTTCCATATAAACACAAATGGAAAATTGAGAAACTTACTATTATAGAGAATCTCAGTTATTCCAGGTTTGGTGTACATATACACATTTTTGCATGAAACTATATATGTTATGACTGTATTACCAATTTTATGGTGGAGATATAAATACAGAAATTATTTGTTCATGTTGAGTATGGTGGTGCATGCCTGTAATCCTAATGACTTGGAAGGCTGAGGCAGGTGGATCTCAGGTTCTGGGCCAGCCACACCAACTTACTGAGCCTCTGTCTCAAAAAAAAAAAAAAGGAATGGGGACGTAACTCAGTGATAGAGTGCCTTTGGGTTCAATTACTATTATTAAAAACGTATTTTTTCACTAGAGAGTGAAACATATAGTCACTTCTCCTGAATTAAAGCCAACCACCAAAACTTGTGCACCTAGGAAGATTTTTCCATACATGTTTTTGTCTCATTTAAAGAAAAGGTCTTGGGGGGCGGGAGCTAGGGTTGTGGCTCAGTGGTAGAGCATTTGCCTAGCCCTGGGTTCGATCCTCAGCACCACATAAAAATAAATAAAATAAAGATATTGTGTCCACCTACAACTGAAAAATAAATGTAAAAAAAAGGTCTCTAGTAGGAAACTTTCCATTGTCAATGTGTAAATATAAATCTTTAAGAATCACTCAATATAGAGCTGTTAGCAAAGAAATTGGGACTGCATAGCCCACTTATCAGTGCAGAAATGGTAACCTTTACTTAAGATTTAGAATTGGCTCACATAGGAGGAAAAAACTCAGGACCTTGGAAAAGAACTGTTAAAAGCTTCAGCTCTGAGCATGTTATCACTTATGGATTTTTCCCTTTTATCTGTTATTGAAGTATTATGAACTTCAGTACAACAAGGTCATATCTTTCTTCAAAAGAAATTTTGTGACTGAAATATGAAGATTACACAACTTGTTGGCACATTGCTAACTCTGGTATCAGAAAAGCCAGATCTTTCTGAAAGAAAAATGTATGATAAAAAATATAAAGTATCACAACCATATTTTTAAAACATTTTTTAATATTCTTTAAGTTGTAGATGGACAAAATATGTTTATTTTATTTGTGTATTTTTATGTGGTGCCAGGGATCAAACCCAGTGCCTCATGCATGCTAGGCAAGTGTTCTACCACTGAGCCACAACACTGGCCCACAACCATATGTTTAGTAATACTTTACTTAAACTGTCACAGGCTCATTCAACTTTGGTATTCGTGGATTATAGCAGAATTGATAGTGGTCGTATCTTTGTAACTTTCAATCCATAGAACCCTTTTAGGTCAAGCATACATATTTCAAAAAGTTTCAAAAGTTTCTTAAATAATATTAGCAATGGAAATGTGTTCCCAGTTTGTTTGCTTAAGAAGTGACTTCTCAACCATAGGATTAATTTAGATACTTTGAAGCCTGTGAACACTAATTTTTAACCCAATAAGTTTACAGTGCTTTTGTAAATGGCCCAAGCTCAGTGTTAGAGCTGTTACATTTAGAAGATCTATCTCCTTGCTTGTAAGCAGAGAAAGACTAGGAACACACACTTTAGAAATATTTACTCTCAATAAAAATGTTTATAATGAGTATTAGTGCTCAAAATAGTCACAGTTTAAGAAACTAGCTACTTCTTCAAAGAAGGATCAGAAAAGTTGGAACATCCTTTATTTTTATCACTTCTTATTGTACCTTTATATAGTTATTTGCTATTCATCTGGTTCTCTTTGCTTTGTGGGCTCTATATTATCAACAGATTTCAGGAATTTCTTCTACTCTCTAGAGCATGGAGTTCATTTATAAAAAGGCCAGGCAATATTCACCTTATCCTCATTTCTTTGTTTCCTTTTGAAACTGGTTCCTAAGGGGTTCTTGAAAGGCCCACCACATATTCAAGTTAGTCTTTCAACTGGAAAATTCCATTTGGAGTGCAGATTATTTGACCTGGCACATCTTTCCTCGTTACCTAGGGCCACCATCCAGGTATGAGGGTGAGGAGTTAGTAAATAATAATGAGGAATTTACCTAGTAGATTGTTCCTGTGATGGAGTGTAAAAGGAGCATCTAGGTATGACCCTATTAGCATACTGGACCCACTCTAACTCTTCAAATATATGAGTTATTGCCATAATAATACCCAACTGAAGAATTCCCTTTTTTTTCCTGTGCACTATTTGGAGCAGCAGAGACCAGGATGTCCATTTATCTTTCTGTCTTCATGGACCTCTCTGCAGTGATCCATGGCTCTCCCTTAGCCAACTTGGCTGATGCTCTTCTGTTTCTACCTCCAGTATGACCTGTTCAGAGTTTACAGTGGCAATTTGCTGGGTTTTCAAAGCAACCTTTTTGCTCCTGGTTTAATTCTCTTGTCACCTTGGCCATTGCCATGATCAAAGCCTGAAGAAAAATAATTTTTCCTAACCCTTTAACTTTCTTTCCTTTTTACCCTCCCCATATACTACTGAGGAATAAAGTATATAATTTTCATTCCCATTTCCATTCATTGATATGACCTCAGCCTAAATATATCTACAGAATATTTTCTCAATCACAATTTCATATTTATATTACATTTAGGTTTTGAACTATGGTTAAATATCAATCCACATGCATCTTTGTCACAATCCCTAAACCTACTAAATGAACAAAATCATATAAACGTAATAGAGCAAAGAGTATGGGAGGAAATAAAGTAGTAGATGAGATATGTCAGCTAATTTGGGAAAAATGAGAAGCAGATGGATAGGCAGAAATTTACCTGAAAGAGGAGAAGCAGCAATAGTTTGAATTCCTCCAAGAAATAAACCATCATCTCCACCATAGAACTGGGAAAGATTTAGAAATTGGAGGTACAAAGCACTTTGGAAGGTGAAAGTGTGATGCAGTACTAAAAACAGAGGAAATGGTTAAAAGTCTGTATACATAGCAATTAAACATCCAATTTCTCCTCCTACTTTACAAATTAATGACTATTGTTCCCCCACTCCATAACACTCATGAGGTTTATTCTCAGAAGGAATGGAAGCTGATAGGTTTTAGACATGGAGACATCAAGCACAGTGGAGACATAGAGCTGCAAACAGAGATAAAATAAAAATCAGCATCTGGAACAGTGGAATCAAAGCCTCCTTCCATTGGCCTCTTTCCAGAATGCTTGCATCTGGTTTAAATCCTTCATGTAGGAATCCAGAAGATTTTTATATGGTAAAATTAAAGACCTCAGAGAAAAGACCTCTGTATACAAAGATTTGAATACTTCCTTAGTGCAAAAGTTGTCTTGCCAACATAGCAACCTTTGTAAAAACCCAATAGTTAGCAATTCCATACATCAACACAAAAGTTTTTACTCAGCTTTTCAGTGCATCTTCCTGCAATAATGGCATGTTACAGCTCTCCTGAAATGAGAGACAGACTAATACAGATAACTAGAAAAAAAAAAACAAAGGAAACAGAGTTAGTTCAGAGAGCAGAAGAAAATGTTCCAAGACATTAACAAATATCTTCATAGAGATAAGAAAAGACATTGAACTTATGAAACTGGATCAAAATACACTTTTAAAAGCAATAAATGAGGGCTGAAGAGATAGCTCAGTTGGTAGAGTTCTTGCTTTGCATGCACAAGGTCCTAGGTTCAATCTCCAGCATAATAATAATAATAATAATAATAATAATAATAATAATAATAAGTGAAATGGAAGACCTGGGTTTTCAGATTGACAGACCAAGATTCCAAAACAATGTTAAAACAATTGAATTGAGGTATGTCATCATGCTATTTTTGAACAACAGGGGTTAAAGAGAAGATGGTAAAAGCATCAGGTCATATAAGAAATATTATAAATCAGGATGCCATCCACTTCTATGGAGCAATATCGTCACAACTCTAAAGGAAACTTAATTACCAATCTAGAATTCAAAGTATCAATCAAATGAGAGTGTAGAAAATATTTACTTCAGATAAAAACTTGAAGAATTTATTTCCATGTCCCCTTAATTAACTTTATTTTAAATATTTATTCATTTGTTTGTTTATTCATTCATTTATTTGGTGGGACTAGGGATTGAACCAAGGAGCATTCTACCAACTCAGAAGGCAACTTCTCCTGCCTCAGCCTCCCAAATTGCTGGGATTACAAGAGTGCACCACCATCCCATGACCCTTAATTACTTTTCTATTGCTGATGTAACAAATAGCTAGAAACTTCACGGCTTAATACAACACAAATTTATTATCTTTCAGTTCTAGAAGTCAGAAGTCTATGATAGTTCATCAGGGCTGTGTTCCTTCTGGTGCTTCTAGAAGAGAATCTGTTTCCTTGCTTTTCTAGCTTATAGAGACTTCCTACATTCTGCAACTTATGTCCTCTTCTTCCATCTTCAAAGCCAGGAATATAGGATCTTCTCTCCTCTCTGACCTCCTGACTCTCCCTTGTACAAACACTGTAAGTACACTGTGTCCACATGGATAATCCAGGATTATCTCCCCATCTTAAAATGCTTAACTTAATCACTAGATCTACAAAGTCCCTTTACAATGTAAGGTAAAATATTTACAGGTTCCTGGGATTAGCACATGGAGGGTCATTCTTCCACCTACCGTATTCTCCTTCTCATGAAGATACTGAAGCATGTTCTCCATGAAATTAAAGGCATAAACAAAAAAAAGAGGAAGAAACTGGATGCAGGGGGAAAAAAGGAGAGCCCAATAAAGAAGTAAAATGAAGAGAATTTCCAGAATAACTGTGAACAATTGGTCAAAATGGAGCAAGAAAATAGTTCTGGGAGTGGACTCTAATGAAAATGTAACTGATGTGTTTGAGTATATAGATAGACATTTGGCATAGATTTTGGAGCATTTAGGGTAAAATTTTAAAATAGGCACACAGAAATTAGCTAGGTAAATGGAAAAAAACAGATAATTATGAATGACGGGAAAATGAAAAGCTCTACAATAAAAGAATAGTCATGCTATACTTATCTAACTCAGCAGTAAACATTATTTACAGGCTTATAAGAATGCAAGTTATTGACTCAATGAAAATTCAAAATACAACTTTTTTGGAGGGATGGGAGAACTAGAAATTATGAATGAGTGGAATATACAAGCTCTTATTTATCGTAAAGTCTAAAATTGATAAATCAAAATTAGAAGCATATTCCCAAAACTAATCTACAGATTCACTGAAATGCATATAAAAAATCCGTACTACATGTTTTTTTGGGGATTTACAAGCTGACTCTAAAACTCACATGGAAATAAAAGGAACCTAATATAAGCAAAATAACTTTGAAAAAGAAGATCAATGTTAGGGAAATGATACTTCCCAATTTTAAAACTTTATTAAACATCTACAATAATTAAGACAGTGTGTTACAGACATAATATGCATATAGATCAATGGAATAAAAATGTGAGTCCAGAGTGATATTGGCCAAATTATATTGTTATGTTATGTATTGCATGCATGTACAAATATGTAACCATAAATCCCATCAGTATGTACAAATGCACCAATGAAAAATGTGGGGAAAACTAAAAAATATAAATAAAAATTTGTGAGTCTAATTCTGGGTACAGTGGCACATGTCTATAAATCCTAGTGACTCAAGAGGCTGAGGCAAGAGGTCACAATTCAAGGTTAGCCTCAGCAATTTAGTGAGACTCAAAATAGAAATGGGCTGGTGATGTAGCTCAGTGACAGAGCGCCCCTGAGTTCAATCCCTAGTACTGCAGAAAAATAAAAGTGTGTGTTCAGAAATTAACTGATATATTTATGATCAATTGATTTTCAACAAGGGTTCCAAGACAATACAATTGGAAAGAGTGGTGATCTAACAAATTGTGTTGGGGCCATTGGATATCCATACACAAAGAATGAAGTTGTATCTCTCATATCATATACAAAAATTAAGTCAATATGGATCAAAGACTTAAATGCAAAACTAAAACTCCTTGAAAACATTGGAAAAAATCTTCATGACCTTGAATTAGGTAATATTTTCTTTCCTAAGACACCAAAAGCAAAAATGACTAATAAAGATGTAAATTGATCAGACTTCATCGTATCTTAAAATATTTGTGATTCTTGCCAGGCACAATGGCATACAACTTTAATCCCAGCTACTCAGAGGCTGAGGCAGGAAGACAGCAAGGTTGAGACCAGCCTAGATAACACAGCAAGACCACATTGCAAAAAAATTATTTTATTAATTTAATTAAATGTTTATGATTCAAATACACCTTAAAGAATGTGGGGCTGGGAGTGTGGCTCAATGGTAAAGTGCTTGCTCAGCATGTACAAGGCCCTGGGTTCAATTCCCAGTACTGCAAAAGGAAAAAAAAATTAAAGCCAGGCATGGTAGCGTATGCCTGTACTCCCAGTGACTTGGGAAGCTGAAGCAGGAGGATCACAAATTGGTGACCAGCCTCAGCAACTTAGCAAGACCCTGTCTCAAAACAAAATATAAAAAGGACTGTGGATATAACTAAGTGGTAAAATGACCCTGGGTTGAATTCCCAGTACCAAAAGGAAAAAAATTAAATGTGCATGGAATATATAAAATTGTGCATGGAATATATAAAACACAAAGGATTTGTGCTTGAGGAAACTTTTAGTTGATATAATAGCAATCTAGATACAATTTAGATATTTTTTTCTTCACTGAGTCATACTCAGATTTTGGATCCTCTGTTGTACTTTCGTGAACCCTGTAGTCTCCATGCATTTGCCACTAGAAGGAACCCGAGATGGAGATTCAACAAAAAGATTTTTTTTTGGCGGGGGGGGGGGGCTGTCCGAAGGAGAGGCAGAGAGGAGAGGAGGAGGGCAAAGAAAGAGAGAGAGAGCAGAGAGGAAGAGGGAAGAGAGAAGAGAGAGGAGAAAAAGAAGAGGAGGAGAGCAGAGGGCAGAGAAAAGAGCCAAATGTTTTTGACTGATGAGTGGATAAACAAAATGTGGTATATACATACAGTGGAATATCATTCAGACATTAAAAAAGGAATGAAATACATGCTGCAATGTGGATGAACCTGGAAAACTTCATACAAATAAGAAGAAGGCAGACACAAAAGTTCATGAGTTATATGACACTATATGATGTGTATATTAAATGTCAATAATAGGAAATCCACAGATATAGAAACCAAACTAGTGGTTACTAGGGGAAAATAGACTGTTAATGGGTACAGGGTTTATGTCTAGGATGATGAAAATGTTCAGTATTTAGATAGGGATGATGGTTACATACTTTGGGAATATACTAAAAACCAATGAATTGTTCAAAGAATAAGAAAAGCACAAACAACCCAATTAAAATACGGACAATTCGGGGCTAGGGTTGTGACTCAGCGGTAGTGTACTTGCCTGGCATGTGTGAGGCACTGGGTTTGATTCTCAGCACCACGTATAAATAAATAAAATAAAGGTCTATTAACAACTAAAAAAATTTAAAATATATGGGCACTTCTATTTCCAGACCAGATAGAATAGATGCACTTCTCTTTAGTCTGCCAACTAACTATAATTATAAACCCTGCAAATAATACATAAAGCAAATGTAAGACTCTGTTACTTGGAGGAAAGTTGGTAGACTGTCTAAGGAATCTCAAATCTCAAGGGATGTCATGGCAGACAGTTTCCTGGATTTGCTTTTTGCCTATTATATCTCTTGAATATACACTAGAGAAGCTCCAAAATGCCAATTAGCATAGATTTACAAACTCACAGTAGTAACAATCTGTCTCCACCATAATGGTTGTACTAATTTACATTCACACCAAATGTGTATAAGAGCTCTTTCTTATCCATATTCTCACCAACATTTGTTATTATTTTTAAAATAGCCATTCAAACTGGGATGAGATGGTATCTTACTATAGTTTTTTATTTCCTTGATAGCTAGATATTGAGCATTTTCATGTATTTATTGGCCATTTGTACTTCTTCTGAGAAGTGTCTATTCAGATTATTTGTTCATCTTTTAATTGGAACACTTGTATTTTTGTGGTTAAGTTTGAGTTCTTTACATATCCTGGATATTAACCCTCTTTCAGAAGAGTAAATAACAAAATTTTATTTTAATTCTATAGGCTGTCTCTTCATTCTGTTAATTGTTTCCTTTGTTGTGCAGAAGCTTTTTAGTTGAATGTAATCCCATTTGTTAATATTTGCTTTTGTTTCCTGTGTTCTTGGAGTCCTAGTCAGAAAATCATTGCAATACCAATATCTTGAGGTGTTTCCCCTGTTTACTTCTAGTAGTTGCAGTTTCAAGTCTTCCATTAAAGTATTTGATTCATTTTAAGTTTATTTTTGTATAGGGTGAGAGATAGAGGTCAAGTTTCAATCTTCTAAATGGGGAGATCCAGTTTTCCAAGCACTCTTTGTTAAAGAGGCCAACCTTTTTCTAGTGTATGTTTTTGATAACATTGTTGAGAATCAGTTGACTGTAGGTGCATGGATTTATTTCTAGATTCTCCATTCTATTCCATTGATCTATGTATCTGATTACCATGCCAT